CCCCAATCGCGTGATCTTAGGACAACAATGCTGTCAGTTAAGGATTTTATAAAAAAAGTCTAGGTACTTGTAGATCCCATCTACGAAATTCAGATTTCTCTCCAAAATGCATAAGGTGGAATTTATTGTCGTCAAATGAAAAGCATTTAGCACCGTGGCATGTCTTCTAGAGTCTACAACTCCCAATCTAACGGTTTCGACAAAACGGATCTTAATATCCGTTGGCCATTTCTAAATACATGCGGATGTTTGATCAACGACATTAAACAAGAACCGGCTTGCAAAAGCACTGCCTATCTACATCTTTTGACTAATTTTGGAGGTAGGTTAAGGCCGACTGCCCGTCCTAACTTTAACATTTTGGTGAACTGAAGTAAATAACCACCTGCTGTGGTTTCGAAATATACAATCAACATTCGTTCTTCTGTAACACGAAGCTATCTGCCCACTAAATCAGCCTTCGGAAAATGGAACACATCGAAGGGCGTCGAAGATAAACGAAAAGGTGATGGGTCCAACTCATCTAGCATCAGATCCACTGAAGCTAAATCACTTGTTATACCACCCTTTTCAGTACTTTTGGTTCCTCACACTAAAATAAGTATTGTCACAGATAAAATTGAAAAGCAAAACGACAAAATTAAAAAACTTTGGGCAGCACTGCAAGCCGAAGTGTGGCAAATCAGCATTCAACAATTCAATTCAACATGTCCGGTATGCCTAGGAAAAAGGCTTTATTAGGTGCAAACATGCGAGCATCAGATCGGTCGAAATTCACGTCACCTCATTTCGGAAAGCGTACAATTATTCAATTCAGAGCTTAAAAACGACGCGCAGATAAAAATTAAGGTGCAGAGCAAGGCATACAGATACGATTTATCAGAAAACACTCACCAAGTTGGAAAAGACGTTGTAATACCACTGAAAGACCAATTGAACTTTGAGGAAGGAGAGGAAAAGGAGAAACAAGAATACAGTAAACTCACCTGATTTGGATCGATGGGTGGTGGTCCTCCACCAGTGACAGCAGCGGGCATTTGTGGCGGTTGTGGCATAGATGCTGCTGCAGCAGTGGACGGCATAGCTGTTGATGGCTGAAATAATGGAGTTTGCAACAAGTTCATTTGGTGAGGCAATAGAGGTGGTGGCTGCGAAACCATGCCAGCGATGGATGATGGTGGTGCCACCACAGCTGATGCTGCCGGTGTTAATATTGGTGCTCGATTCTCCTGTATGGGCGGTAAGTCACTCGAACCGACAAAGGGGAATCGACCCAGCATGGCTATGTAGTCCGCTGCAAATGACCGAAATCACTATCAACAAAGTATAGGTAAGAAGAATAGATAACTACAATTTAGCGAGTGTAACTGAAGGTACTTTTAGTCCACGTAGAGCCAACAAGATATGATGGGGCGAAGTTGTCAGGAGAGTTCTACTCTTGAGCGCTCGTATGAGAAATGGTAAATAAAGCCAATGACTAGGGACTCGATATTCATTTGGTACAGGGTCTACTTCCAGTGATCTAGAGGCTTATCAATAAATAACAACGTTCACTATCGACAGAAAGTGCGTTAGCAACAATGCCCTACTTCATGAGTGCTTTCAGCGGAAGAGGTACGCTACCCTAGACCCTGTTTTCGTCCTTGTGATTAATAGTGACGGTTTTATTAGTACTGAAGTGATCACCACAGAATGAGTGAGTCATTCCTGTAGATGCACTAAGATTGTTCGATGAAAAAAAGGACCAGACGGCAGTAAGAACAGTGAGGCGGCAAGCACATCACTAAGACAGTGGTCTGTGTAGCTAGATAAATGAGTATGCTAAGTTCACGCATCAGTTGATTACATAAATGATGATACAGAAGAAAGACTTTAGGCATGCAAAGACACCTTTGACCCTTCTAATCACATTTGGTAGTGAACAAACCCTTCAATTTTATTCTGACCGATCCCCATGGATAACAAAGTCGTGGAAATGCCTTCCAATGAACAAATCAAAATTAGTTTTTAAAAGGAACGTATATCTCAATGAATTAAGAGAAAAATCCGATTAAATCAGTGTCCAACCAACTTTGAATAAGGCCCTGAAGACAACAGGTACTAATCAAGTATGGTAGTTGAAACAGGAGACTAATTATCTGCATACTCCTCCTTCCTTTTTTACAAGCTGTTAGAAATTCTACTATGCTGGTACGACGTAATAGGACTTCAAAAAAAATCTTGGAAAACCAGACCAACAGAAGATGAAGCTCACAATGTTGTGTGGTTTCAAAGACTGCAGGGGACGAACGAAGCAAGCTTGAAAAGACTTAATCACATTAAAATATCGACTTTGATAATCTTTAAATGTAACGATCCGTATTTTAATCTTCCTCCGACAAAAAAAGTATCCAAATTGAAGAGAAAAATACAGAAAAGTAATGCGCGAGAAAGAATTCCATCATAATGACGTCTGACCTATGACCGACATATAAACGCAGTCTAATGATACTTGTCAATAATCAACGCATTTGAATCTTTCACACATAAAGGACAGCCAAGATACTCGCTTTCATTTGTGAGAGAAGCATGGAAGATACATGTTCAACAATGACACTGCAAAACAAACTCTTCCGGTTTATTCAACGGGAAACCTACTGATACGCGAGAAGACTTTATCACATTCGCGTCGCACTTCAATTTGGATGGGGAAGTAGCCAGCAGAGAACCACGCCGCCATAGTGGCATCATCGTATGGACCTCGTACATGCCCAGTGGGGTCTCGGTAGTACCACTGCGTAGGGCTGGGTTGTGAAGAGGATGGAACTGAAGGAAGCGGAAGAGGAGGAGGAGGAGG